CCCACACCTCCGCCAGTTCATTCCTCTCTTTAAAAAGTAAAATTCTTTCATTGTTATACAATCCCTCCCCCCAAGTCCACTCCACTATGCAGCCTTCATTCTAGACTCATATCATGACAATAATACCTAATCACATATACCTTTTAAACAGTTCTGTCTCTCTCATCTGTTTTGATGCAGTATACATAATTTATCCCATCTTTCTCAGTCTTCCCCCAACCTCTATGTTAGTCCCGTTTTACAACAGTGGCACTATGCAGTATTTGTCTTTTTGTGATTGAGATACTTCACTCAGTATAATGCAGGATGGGCCAAAGTAACTAGCAGCAACACCAAAAAGAACTCAACAAAATCATAGCAATAAAACCTTGCCTCTCAATAATCATACTGAATGTGAATGGCTTAAATGCACCACTGAAGAGAAAAAGAGTAGCAGAATGGATAAAAAACCAAAATCTGTCAATATGTTGTCTACAAGAAACATCTGAAAAATGAAGATAAGGAAAGTCTAAAATTAAAAGGGTGGGGAAAAATACACCAAGCAAATGGCAACCAGAAAAAAGCAGGAGTAGCCATATTAGTCTTCTCTTTCAAAATGGCGTAAAGGAAACTGAGCAAGAAAGGGCAAGACTAATAGAAAGTCTGTCTCTATTACCCAAACACAAATTCGAGATTTGTGTAGAATCTTAACTGATACAGACTAACAGGATTATTTTCTGTATACCTAAATATCTGTAATATTTTCATTATAATGAAAATTTCTATTTGAAGGTGTAAAAATCATATTGGTTTTTATAAAACCATAAACATTTTGTTCTATAAACATTGTTTTTGTTAAGTGTTGTCGAACACTACTCATAGCAACCCTATAGATAGCAAAAGACCTGTACCCTTTTCTGTAACTATCCTTATTTCTCTGCATTCATGTATATAGTTTCCAGAGGCACGTTGTTTAGGAAGTAGATGCCACTCCTGCTTCCAAACCTGTCTCAGTCTGGGAGCTCCACCAAACACTGTCCACCATGAGTAACCATTATGGCATTTGACACACCAATGATGCAGTGTTCAGCATCACAGAAACCCCATGTTACCTCAGTACAGCGAATTGACAGACTAGTGCTGTACCGTTTAGAAGAATGTGCCCCAAACACAATTAACACCAGGCCTAGGGCCCAACAGACTTTTAAATACAAAGGCCTGCCCATCAGATCATGGTTGATTCAAAACCAGAGGCTTTCAGCCCACAGCTCATTCTTAGGTAAATCTAGCAAATCAAATCAGGTCACATACAATTGTGAATTGAGGGGTGGAATGGGGGGGGGGAACACCCAACAGTCCAAACCAGACCCTCAACCAAAACAAGAAGAAACCGCCTTCCAGAATCCAGCTTCACACATACCCTCCAAACTGGTTCTCTTGTTTTGGTTGAGGGTCCTACATGTACTGTTTTGTGGGGTTTTTTTTTATTCACAACCATACGTGAGCTGTTATAAAGTCGACCAGGACTTGGTGGACAAATCTTTGTATTTAAAAGTGGAGCAGATCCCAACTAAGTCTACAGTTTGGAGGCTCATGTGTGAAGCGGTTGAATTTTCCTTTTGTGGCTGTCTTACTTTATGAAGATTTGTGCTGGCTTTTTTTCACTGCCAAGTGTTTAGTACCTGGAACAGTGTCTGGCACAGTGTGTGTTTGTTACATGAATTTGATTTTCATCCCTACTTTCACCTCTGCATCTACAAATTCAAACAGTCACTGGTTGAAAATACTCAAGAAAATTCACCTTGAGTGATCAAAGTAATCTCTACAGGCTATGACGGAGTATAAAGTTATTTAAATAAATTTACACTGTGTTAGGTATTACAAAGAATCTAAAGAAGATGTATATGGGAAAGTGTGCTAGGCTATATATACAAATACTCTCCCATTTTACATAAGAGAGTTGAGTAACCTCAGATTTTGGTATGCCAGGAGTCCTGGATCCAGACTCTGTGAATACCAGGGGATATCTGTACATACTACTTTTTATTCAATTGAGAAACTCTGTTTCAGATTTAAAAAAAAAAATCAAAAGAGCTTAGCATTTTGAAAGACTTAGATTTACGAAAAAGAAAAAGACAAAACAACTATGAGATATCATCCCACCCCAGTTAGAATAGCAAAATTTAACAGAACAGTTGACATCAAATCCTGGAGAGGTTGTGGAGAAACTGGAACCCTTATTCACTGTTGGTGGGAGTGAATATGGTACAGCCACTGTGGAAGGTGGTATGGTGCTTTCCCAAAAAGTTGCAAATAGAAATACCATTTGACCCAGCAATTCCACTACTGGGAATATACCGTAAAGAAACCATAGCCACCACCCAAGCAGATATATGCACATCTGTGTTTACTGCAGTTTGTTCGCAATAGCAAAGAGTTGGAAACAACTCAAGCGCTCATCAAAAAACGAATGGCTAGGGAACCTCTGCTATATTCACACAATGGAATACTATGCTGCATTGAAAAACAAGGAACTCATGAAATATTATTCAAAATGGGTGACCCTGGAGGACATTATGCTGAGTGAAATATCTCAGTCACTAAAGGACAAATATTGCATAGGGCCGCTGTTATAAAACAGGACTGCCATCAGAGTTAAGACTGAGAAAGGGGATAAATAATGTGTACTGCATTGAAACAGATGCAGCAGAGAACTGTTCAAAAGTTATATATGATTAGGTATTTTTGTCATGACAGAAATCTAGAATAAAGGCTGGACTTGGAGGGGGAGGGATTGTATAACAGTGAAAGAATTTTTCCTTTACTTTTCAAAGAGAAGAGCAAATTGGGGGGGTAAGGGAGGACAGGGAGAAAAGTGCAACAATGAATGCATGGAAACCCCAAGTCTCTGTAAACTTTCATTAAAATTAATTAAAAAAAGAAAGAAAGGAAAAGAAACCCAGAAATATTTTACAGAATTAATAGAAAAATGTTCTTAGGTTCAAAGTTAGTTAGTGTTGACCCTTTAAAGATAACACACGAGTTATGTTAGCATAATTTTTAAATTTGCAATTGTCTCTCATTTACAAAAATTAGCAATCTTTATTTTTCTTTGATGCAGTTATGGTTCAAGAAGATTACCACAGTCAGAATCCTTACCACAATGCAGTCCATGCTGCAGATGTTACTCAGGCCATGCACTGTTACTTAAAAGAACCCAAGGTAAGATACTGTGTTTACATCATGTAAAAATTTCAAGAAAATGTCTTTCTGTTTACTGTCATATACTTTCCCTTGATTGGAATCCTGTATTAAATGAACTAGACATCTGTAGTGACATAACCTTGCTTGCCAAAAATGAGGAGGACCTGACACATTTGCTGGAGAAAGTCAAGGACTGTAGTCTTCAATATGGATATCATCTTAACATCAAGAAAGCAAAGAAGATTCTCACCGCTGGGCCAATTGGCAGCATCATGATAGATGGAGAAGAGATTGAAATTATTAAGTTTCAGCTTGTTTGGCTCCACAGTCAATACTCTTAGTACCAGCAGTCAGAAATTGCATTGGGAAAATCTGCTGTAAGGGACCTCTCCAGAGTACTACAGAGCAATAATGTCAGTCTAGAGACTAAGGTGCGCCTGATCCAGCCAATGATCTTCACAGGATGATAAAAGAAGGATAATGATGATTGAAGAAGAATAGATGCCTGTCGAGTTGTGATGCTGGAGAAGAGTACCATGGACTGCTAAAAGAACCAACATGTCTGTCTTTGAGAGGGTAAAAATAGGCTGCTCCTTGGAGACAAGGATTTTAAAGCTCCATCTCAAATACTTTGGGCATGTTGCCGAGAGGGACCAGTCCTTGGAGAGGGACATCATGCTTGGAAGGATGAAGGGACAGTGCAGGAGAGAAAAATCCTGGATGAGATGGATTGACACAGTGACTAGAGTTATGGGGGCAAGTGGTGTCAGAGACAGTGAGATTGGCTTAGGATAGGTCAGAGTTCAGAACCCATAGGGTCACTATGAGTCAACTCGAAAACACATAACCACATTGAGAATAAAATTATAATTGCTAGCTTGCAAAATTGCATTTTCTGACCTGAATGCATCACTTGCACTTGTTCCAAATGTGTTCATCCATTGGAGAAAGATTTCATTCCAGTCTTGGCACCGGATTATTCTTCATTTCTTTAAACTTTGGGGCTACAGTAATTATGTCTCATTGACCTCATTAAGTGACTAATTTGTTGACTGATAAAACAAATTGTATAGTTAGAATTGTGTATATTGTAATGGCTCCAATAATGGAAATACAGGCAGCCCTGTATTAATTTTGACATGAAAACCATCATTTCAGCCCCATTATTTTTAACAAAGAAGGTTTTCTCAGTTAGCTGGCTGCTATTTTAATTTCACATTTGAAAAATGGAATGAGCTCTCTAGACTCCACAGAGGTGGAGACTTTCTTCCTTGGGTGCTGTGACGAGGCCAGCCCTTGGCTGTTCTTGGAGGCATTAACAGTGGCACATGTGCAAAAAGGAAGAGCCTGCTACCCTATGCTGTGGAGACTCCACTTTGAGTGTCTTGTGATTAACTTTTTCTGTCACCTTTTAGCTTGCCAATTCTGTAACTTCTTGGGACATCTTGCTGAGCTTAATTGCAGCTGCCACTCATGATCTGGATCACCCAGGTGTTAATCAACCTTTCCTTATCAAAACAAACCATTATTTGGCAACTTTATACAAGGTCAGTGAAACTTTGGTATCCACATTTAATATTAATGGATTTAACATTATATAACTCTATAACTGAGAAATGTCTTTCCTTGTAGAATACCTCAGTCCTGGAAAATCACCACTGGAGGTCAGCTGTGGGGCTCCTGAGAGAATCTGGCCTGTTCTCACATATGCCCCTCGAAAACAGGTATGGTGGACTTGCGCACACTTGACTTTCGAATGTACTATGGAAGTCAAGTTGACAAGCAGTTTTATAAAGTTTAAAGGGTGATGTTTATTGTATTCAGGTGTTCCACAGTTTTCAGTTTTTATTATATTTAATGGATAAAAAAATTCTTACCAAAATCTTAGTAACTTCAGTCAGTAATATTATAGTGAATATTTCTTTTCATAAAAAACCATTCCATGGATTTGAGTGAGTACTTTACTCCACATTGCACATGCCTTAATTGAGTTTACTATTTGCTTGCTTAAATAGTTATTATATATTTACATTGTACATTCATCTAAAACCAAAAAGACCTTTTACCTAGCTTAAATTAATTGAAAAGTGAACATTTTGTATAATAGAGTTGTTAAAAATCAGTTTCAAAACCTTTTCAAATAAATGGACAGTTGGAAAAATGTTTTCTATCTTGAATAGCCTTGACCTAGACTCTCTTTAGAACCTGTAGAATCATAAATTTATGAGAAGAAAGAACAACAGAAAATGCCAATATTTTACAAAAAAAGTGTTAGATCATTTTAAGAGCTTAATAAAAAGCATTCTTGCAAATGTGCCCAACATGGTAACTGATTGGAGACCAATTCATTGTATAGTTTGGTTCCTAGCAGGAAGTGGATACCGCTGCCTCACTGAGAGGAGGTCCATTTTCTGCAGTGAGCCTAGAAGCCGTCCAGGTCTAGGAGAGGTGAGAGGTAGGAGCCTAAAAGGTGAAGTTCTAATCAGTGTTCTTCTTTCCTTTTCACTCTTAATAAAAACTATTTAAAAAAAAAAAAACAAACTTAAGTGTTTTGTGTTAATGACCATAAGAAAAAAGCTGGACTTTTATATTTTATTTTTTTTAAATCTTTATTCATGGATACCATTTGGAGGTATGCCAGTAGGATGGTACATCTGGTAAGTGAAATTATTTCTTGATGTGGTACAGATAACCCAAATGTTTAAAGCTTACACTGTTTTTTTATATATAAACTATCTTTTTCTAACATACAGTACATCATTGCTGTCCAGTTGGAGCTGACTTATATATAGCTGACCCTTTTGTAGGTTTTCAAAGGCTGTAAATTGTATGCAAGGAGATTGGTAGATTCACACTGCCTGCCTTTACATTAGGAACATAATTCCTTGCTTCATTATATTCATTTTGCATTATGTTTTGCATTTGATGATTAACCATGTTGAATTCTCAGATTTTCAAATCATGAAAACTGAAAATGAGGAACACTATTTCACATTTTATATTTTCTTGATTTAGGGCTCGTTTACTTAATATTCAATAGAATAAGCTTTCCTAAGAACATTTTCAGTCTGTCTTAATCTGAATGTTCAGATTTAGAGGAATATCTGACATAATCTGACATTCAGATTAAGACAGACTAGGAAGAAGGATTGGCCACC